AGAGAGAGAGAGAGAAGTATAGTGCATCATCCTGCAAGGATTTCACAGAAACAAATGATTCACAAAAATAATAGAGAGAGAGAGGGCATTCATTTGGTGCAAATTTAAACAATAAGAATTGCTTCCAAATGATTCATGGGGTGAGAGAGCAAATTTAAATAATAAGAATTACTTCCAAATGATTCAGAGAAGAGAAGAGAAGAGAGAAGAGAGAGAGAGATCATACATGTATCAGATGAACAGAGAGAGAGAGACATCTTCTTACCTCCCAGGTTTGATTATACCACTGATATCAAGAAGTATAGAGAGTGGCCTCCTTCTATTTCGAAGAATGTGTAACCAGTTCAGAAATCCCTGAATGCATAAACAGAGTAAACAGATCAGTACCATTCAACCTGAACTCCTCGTATCACAGATAATTACCCTCATAAATCATCTCAAATGCTTGACCTCAATCAAGTTGAGATTAAAATTGAGGATTGTAGGAAGGCCTCTTCCTCCCACGAAAACTTTGGCATCAACATTCAAATGCTCGAACCGAACTTCAATAGTTGGAATATCAATTCCCACTCTGCAAATAAGAATTCTAAGAAGAAAACTCGACTTTGAGAAGAAATAGAGAGAGAACAAGAAAACCCAACGTGGATTTCTTCTCAAAGTTGAAGGTTGAGAGAGAGAGAGAGAGAGAGAGAGAGAGAATGTTGTTGGTTTTATTGGTTTATATAGTTCATCAGCTTTTGAATGTGTGTGTGTGTGAGAGAGAGTGAGAGGTAGATGGTCTTACTGGTCTATACGGTTCTTGAGCTTTAGAAGGAACTGCTCACTGTGGTCCTGTGGAATTTTAACCAGCCTCTCTATCAATCTCTTCTTTTCATGAAACCCGAGACTCTCAATCTCCACTTCTCTTCTCTCACCTTTTGAGCTGCTGAGAATCCCTTTCCGAATCCTATCATTTGTCGGCAATCTTTCGAGCGCAGCCCATCTCGCTAGCTCTACGTCGTCTTCTTCTCCATGAGAAGACCTCGAGAACATGCCATCGCCTGTGTTCCTCAGAATCGAGGAGCCATTTCTCCTCAAGCTGCCTACCCTGACCACATCATCGTTCCCCATTGAAACCACCAAACAAAACCACAGCAATCTCTCTCCTCCTCTCTCTCTCTCTCACTGAAAATCTCTACACCCCAAAAAGGAAAATAGAGCGAAGAATGAGATTTCTTGTGCTCACAGATGCTCCGTTCTCAACAAAAACGCACTAAAAAAACTTCACTCTCTTCAAGTTGGAGGCCCTCAAAACTGAACCCCAAGACCACTCAATCCTGTTTCTCTCTCTAAATGAAAAAAAAACAGTCTCTCTCTTTCTCTCCTCCTTTCTCTCACTGTCTCAAGTCCAAAAAGGAAAACAGAGCAAAGAATGAGATTTCTTGGGTTCACAGAAGCTGCAATCCTTTCAACAACGAACACTTAAAAACTTCAGTCTCTTCACCTTGTAGACCTTCAATGCCGAGTCCCCAAACCACCCAATTCCAGTTTCTCTCTGTAAATTAAGACGAAAACAGAGTGGCTCTATAAGGAAAATAAACTAGAGGAAGTTGAGAAGGTGTTCAATTGGGCCTCTGCTTTAATGTTTTTTTGTGCGGCATTTAAATTTGAAATTCTAGATGTCCTAGGGGCCGTTATGTCAACTGCAAACCGCTTAAGTATTACTTACCGAAAAAAAAAAGCGTCAGAATTATTACACACTAAAAAGGTCGTATATACTAAATATATTTTCCGTTGTGCCTTGGTCGGGGACCCACCATGCTAACCTAGGCATGGCCCGTGAGCTTTAACATAAGCCTGGAACTTGACTTCAAAATGGGTCAAGCCCGAAAGCCCAGGGGTAAGATAAGGGGCCATAGTTGTTGGATTGCGTCGCCTAGCATCAGCATCGTCTATGGGCAAATGACGGTGTAAATTGCACAAGAGAGGTTCTGGATTCAGCAAGGGGATCGCCCCAGATACCTGCTTATTCCGTTCCAGATGAGCAACACCCGACACAGATCAACCATTTTTAAAACATTATTCTTTAAGGTTTTTTTTTTCTTTTAAATTTTGACAATTTAACAAATGGGTGCAGTTGGCATACGGATGCATGCGTAGGTGTAGAGGGTAAGGTGCACCTTCAAATTTTGTCGTGGTATATAATTTTGATGTAAAATGTTATTAGGATTATCTCAAAATCTATTTTTATATCTAATTATAAAATTTTAAATTTCAAAAATGGTTAAAATCAAGTAGATCAATAAACATACGAAAATCTTGAAAATAGATGGTATATAAGATGTTGTAAAATGCACTATTTCTGAGACTTAAAATCTTTTTATTTTTCATAGTTATATATCTCGATGTCAAATGATCAATCAAAGGGTTTTTCGATATTAAAACTACCTTTTCCGATGGATTTTGAGGGGCATCCGTAGTTCAACATTATAAGGTAGCATCCTTATATAAACTTCTTCCTTAACAAATTAGGGATCAAAGTCAATCAAGACTCCCAATATTCATAATTTGAAAATACGCTTCCAATAAAGTTCATAATATGCTTCCAAAGTTCATAATATTGTCTGGAAAAAAAAAAAAAGGTTTCTACAAAACTTTGGGCCACCAACCTTCCAAGAAACTAGGGTTGGGAACAAGTCCAGCCTGGCCCTAGCCCGACCATATTTCCCTAAGGACGAGCCTGAGCCGAACCAAATCGAGCCTATCTTGGTCTAGCCAAGGCCCTTGGCCCTATTTTTTGGCGTTGGGCCCACCGTCCTACTGTGAACCCTATAAGAAACTAAGGTTTTATTGGTCTTTACTCTTCTATTAAGCCAAACATAGCAAAATGATCTTTACAAAGACTAAGGGAAGTTTTAAAATTTGAAGAATACAAGAATTTCCCCTATTTTTATCTCTCTAGAAGATTAGAATCATAAATTTTGCATATGGGGTGAACTCTAGGGAATATTTAGTTGTTGTATTTAAAGATAGAGAAAAAGGAGGAAACTAAGTATCTGCCAGCTCTTAGATAAGTGAAAATAGTTATAGAAGCCCAAACTTTTTTTTCTCTCTCTCCCTACTGCCTTTTCTTTCTCTAGCTTTCCAAAAATTTATGAATTGATTTCATATCGAAAGTAAAGAGAGAATCAAAAGATTTTAAATAAATTTGAGGACCAAAAGAAATAAAGCATAAGCAGAGTTGCTAACGCGCCCTGGCCGGTAGGCTGGCTTTCGGGCACCCATATAGGGGTCGGACCATGTCACATGTTAAGGCTTGCGGTCTGGGCCCAAGCATAGCCTAGAAGGTCAATAATATTTTTGGGTAAGGCTCAGACTAGCACTAGCCCTACCCTGTCCCAATCCAAAAATTGTTTAATTATATGTTTACATATTTAAAAATTTCAAATATTTATATAAGGCCCAATCTGGCTCGATGTTTTTCAGCTGGTTTGGGCATGGGCCTCGCTATCACTAATTCGGCCCGTGTCTTACCTAGTAATGCTTATGACTGGCTTGGCAATGCATGATCCTGGCCTATTAAACCTTTGCATGCAAATTAAACCTTTGATCCTGGCCTAAATATAAACCTTTGCATGCATATATTTAAGAAGCTGTGATAGCCTAGCCCAAGATCAACATGAAAAGTGTACGAAAAATTTGAGATGTATCATCTTGAACCTAGCTATTACCTTCAAGGAAAAAATAATTAAATTGGGCTTTTATGAGCATGAAGATAACATCATGGAATTGAACAAAGATACATATTTTTAAAAAGTTAGATCCATGTCTTAAAAACTAAATAATTCATTATCATCATTATCAGAGTTTTATCCCAACTATTTGGATTTGCTACACGAATATTTTGCTGTCATTCTGCTTTATCAAATGCCATACTGTCAATCAAACCATAATTGTTCATAGGGAACACCTTGGTATGAGCAGATTACATCGATTCATGATTCATAAAAAGTAGCAGTAAAATTTGATGCCGGCTACCCACATAACACAACCTTAACTAGGCTTGGAAATAGAAATGACTGACAAGGGACTAGCCAAGGCGGAGTTATAGTTTTCTTTACAAAAAAAAAAAAACTCGAAATTTAATTTCTCTAAACAAAAAGAAAAAGTCATTTCGTGTTTTTTATGCAAATACCCACATTCGATATCTAAAATATCAACTAAAGCAATTCTTTGGCTTGAGGGAGTAATTGTCCAATATGCTCCCTTTCAAAGATAGTATATGCGCTTCATATTATATGCTGCCACTATGTAAAACTCCATCGTGTTCCCTATTTAGGGATGAGAGGTCACAACCTAGCCACCAATATCACGAAGGCCAAAGTTTCATACTTGATTGTGGTTGGAAAGAAAATAGCATCCTAAGATTCAATGGTGACCTTCTGAATTTTGGACGTTTGTTGAGAGACTCAAATTATGTTTTTTTATTTTTTTTCACAAGAGTACGGAATTTTTATTGCATAAACCTGCTTACATCCAAATTACATATCAAAACCAGAAATAAAAGTAATCTCTGCGAGATAAACACCATTTTTTGCCAAAGTGTCAGCTCTATCATTAGCTTCCTGATAAACATGTTGAAACACAACTGCACGGTTTCGACATATATCCCAAACTTCATTCCAACAATCTCTCAAATTCCATAGTGGCCTTCCAATCAAGTTGCACCAATTAATTACATTTAACGAATCCCCTTCCACCACCCAACTTAAATAAGCACATTTGTCTCTCAAAATTTTCACACCTCATAATAGAGCTATGAGGTGAGCAGTCTTGGACCGAAAGAGCTATTTCCTTCGTTGAATGAAAGAGGAGAGGGGTCCACATAGCTCATTCCAAATCGAAGTCATTCGTTGTCAATTTTTTAAAGGCAAATGAATTAAACCGGAGATTGTGAACCTCTTCCAATCTCTCATTCAAGGGAGAGATCTCCCACTCATCTCGGCTCCGACTGCTCCCCTCTGTGGGGGGCACCGTCTCCTCGAGAACGAAGTGGTAGACCTCTTCAGGGTCCACACTTGAGGTTCTCGCGCAACGAGACCTAGGAGGAGATCCTGCAACTCCTGACACATTCTTCTGATAAGGATAGCATCAGTTTCTGAAGCGAGTGACGTGAAGTAAGCTTCCAGTCCTCCATGGGAGGAAGAATTCTCCAAAAGATTTTGGCCATCATACAAGTGGCCACCTAGCTGCTTGGCACCTTCGTTTCGTCAATAACGATTTCCCCCATCTCCTTGACGAAAAACCATTTCTCCCCTACTGAGCCTGCTCTCTTCGTCGTTCGAAGTACTACCTCTGCCTTCCCTTTCTATAATACACTCAGGCCCCTCCTTTTCAATAACTAAGAAAAAATCTAATTCCAATCAAATCAAAGGCTTACTGCGTCTCTGATTCTTTCGACCCCACGGGAGTTTGCTCGACCCATTCCCCAGTATCCCGCACTGCTCAAGTGTGAAACTCCGTATGAGGACCTCCTTCCCTTCTGCCCACTCTCTGTTCACCCGATTCTCAAATTGGTTAGGAAGGGTGGGTAGTAGGTACCACAGGCCATCTGGTTTCAGCTTTGTTAGCAGTAGCTTCCACACAAGGACCCAAAAATTGACAAATTGTCTTGCTATTTGGATTTGAAATTAGTCCTCTAACTCCTGTTAGTCCTGGATTTTCAAGAGAACTTCCATCAAAGTTCAATTTCACACTACCTTGTAGTGGTGGAGTCCATCAATTGTATGGTCTAGAATTTGAGACATTTTTGCAAAACCAAAAGATTTAGGTCCTATAGAATATCTACCTTTGAAAGATCATATCCTTCCTTTGTATTTGAATACCAAAACCACATGTTACGAATGATTTTATCCTTAATTCTCGCCATATCGTAACCAATCCAATCAAAGGTGCAACGATTTCTCTCCATCCAGATTTCCCAAAGCAATGAGCCCCAAAAAATATTCTAGATGGTTATTCATTTTTTCGGCAAATTGGGTAAACATAGATGTTGTACTATATCCTTAAGACAAGCTGGCAAATGCAACATAATACCCATAAGGCTCAAGCTCATTTTCACAACTGATTAGCAATTGGACAATACAAAAACGGGTGATCACATGTTTCTTCATCCCCTTTACACAAGATACAGGTGTTCACAATTAACTTACCTCTAAGCCTCAAATTAACGATTGTTAGTACTTTATTCTGAGATAAGATCCAAACAAACATATGACTTTATGAAGAATCTCCCATTTCCATATCTTGTTAAGTTCAGGTAAGGACCATCACACCCTATCATTAAAAATCAGATAATATGCTGATACTAAAAACATCCCATCATTAGAAAGTTCTCAAATAACTTCGTCTCTCTCCTCAACAAACACATAAACTTCCTCTAAACTTCGCATCAAATCTATGAATTGTGAGATTAACACATCTAGTATTTATGTTGTAAACGAATTGCATATTCCAACCTCCTCCATTATCATTGTGATTGAAAGCATCA